GGCTGTTGCAAAATTCTATTGACTGTCACAGCCAAAGAACTAAAGGTTTTGTAAGCTCTTGCACTATATCAATGTAAAGTCATGCCAGTTGGATTGAAAAATGCACCAGAAACTTTTCAGCACTTAATCAACAAGATCATTAAAAAATTGTATAACATTTGTTGCATACATCAGTGGTTTGGTTGTGTTGGCCAAATTTGAGAGAACATTGGCATAACTTGAATGAGCTGTTTAATCAGTTACAAAGAGTCATTTTGGTCATAAATTTGTCTAAAAGTGAATTTGCCAAAGCAAACATGACTTATTTGGGTCACACTGTGTGACAAATATAGAAACATAGAAGATGGGAGCAGGAAGAGGCCATTCGGCCCTTCGAGCCTGCTCTGCCATTCGTCATGATCCTGGCTGATCATTCAACTCAATAGCCTAATTCTGCTTTTTCCTCATAACCTTTGATCCTATTTGCCCCGAGTGCAGTATCTAACTGCCTCTTGAATACATTCAACGTTTTGGCATCAACTATTTCCTGTGGTAATGCATTCCACAGGCTCACCACTCTTTGGGTGAAGAAATGTCTCCTCATCTCCGTCCTAAATTGTCTACCCTGAATCCCCATACTGTGACCCCTAGTTCAGGGCACACTTACCATCAGGAACATCCTCCCTGGATTTACCCTGCCCAGCCCTGTTAGAATTTTATAAGTCTCTATGAGATTCCCCCCCAACCGTCCATTTGAACTCCAGAGAAAACAATCCTAACCTAGTCAATCTCTCCTCATACATCAGTCCCACCATCCCCGGGATCAGCCTGGTAAACTTTCATTGCACTCGAGAGCGAGAGCATTCTTCCTCTGAAAAGGAGACGAAAACCGCACACAATATTCTAGATGTGGCCTCACCAAGGCCCTGTATAACTGCAACAACACATCCCTGCTCCTGTACTCAAAACCTCTCACAATAAGGCCAACATACCATATGCCTTCTTTAAAGCCAAGTAGCACCTAGAGCAACAAAAACATCAGCTATCTTGGATTCCCCATGCCTGAGATGAAATTCTATGATATATTGGAATGTGTGGAGATTTTTGATTTGTTCATAGGATGTGGGCCTCACTGGATAGGGCAATATTTACAACCCTGAGAACAGTTAGGGATCAACCATATTTTATGGATCTGGAGTCACGTAGGCCAAACTAGATGAGAATGACAGATTTCCTTCCTTAAGGAGCAGTAGGGAACCAAATGGGTTTTTATGATAATGGCTGCTATGGGACTAGCTTTTTATTGTAGTTTTTTTTTCATTAAGGTCAGATTTGATTATTGATCTTGAACTTATGTCTCCAGATCATTAAGTTGGGGCCTGGATTGCTAGTCCAGTGGCATTACCACAATGCCACCACCTTCCCCATTCCACATGCATTCCAAATTTCACACTGTTATGGCTCCTTTGACAAGTTTATTAAAATGAAGGCAAGAATTTTGAATGGACAAAAGAATGATTGATTGCTTTTAAAAATTTGAAAGCTGAGCTAACTACTACAGCAGTTTTAGCAGCATCTAAATATTAAAAGACTGGTGATGCCAGTGATGTTAGCATTGGTGTGCTGGTTTACAGGAGGATGAGAAAAGCTTTAAATGAGTAGTCAGTTATTTTTTGCCCCAGAAATTAACTGAGTGTCAACAGAAATGTTCAGGGAAAAGAGACTCTGAGCTCGGTATAGACACTGGGACACTTTGAAGAGTACATATCCAACAATTCTGCTGAGACTGTGATTTAAGTGGACCACAACTCCTCTGTTTTTTTTAAGAGATTCCATGACATTGAGACTGTCTTAGAGTTTAATGCTGCAACCATACAGGATATTAACTGTAACTATGAATGATGTTAATAATAAAATATGTTGATCAAAATACCTTTTTCTTCAAAAGGGAGGCATGATGAAGGTTTATAATGTAATATTATTTATAAACTTGGATTCAAAAAAGAGGGAAAATGGATTTTAATTTTCAGTTCTGTGAAGATTGTACCTAGGAGTCATTAGGAACACAACTTTCCAAGAAATCATGTGATTTTAGCAAAATAACTCAACAAATGTGCCTGTTGAGACAATTGCTGTATATTGTTGCCTTGAGCTTTTGTAATCCACAAAAAAGATACATGTTAGAAGCCATGATCAGGTTTTCAGTTTAAAAGAACGTGACCAGAAGTAGGGCAGATTTTAGTTTGTCGAAGTCTTTAGGCTGGAAAGGAGTCTTTGAATGTTTAGAAGCCCAAGGAGAAGGGCTGGGAAGGGCCCTGAGTTTCTCTTAAGGATCATTGAGAACATTAAGTTGGTTACCTATATTTTGCCTAAAAGAGAGAGAGAATTCCATCTAGTGAATCTATAGAAGATCACTGAAAGGAAACAATAGCAATCCCATCAGTTGAGTAAGAAATCAAAAAGTCAAGATAGTTCACAGGGATTCTCCAGTCGTCTGGTGGTACCCCTTTACATGATGTTTGGAATATTACTGCCTGTACCTCTGTCATTTCCAATCTTCCTTTAGTATCCTTAGATACATTTAATTCTGTCCTGGTAGTTTATCAACTTTAAGTACAGCTAGCCTGTTAACACCTCTTTGCTAACTTCAATCCATCAAGTTTCTCAGCTGTCCCTTCTATGACTATGATTTGGGCAGCATTTTCTTCCCAACATAGATGTAAAGCACCTCAGCCAGAACCCCTGCCTCCACATCTAAGTTTCTTTTTAGGCCCCTACTGCGCCCAACTTATCCTTTTCTCTTCATTTTATGATTTACACATCAATACAGGATTTTTGGATTCTCTTTTACATTCATTATCATTCTCTTCTCACACTTTCTGCTTCTTTCATTTGTTTTTCTAATTCTCCCTTGAGCCTTCTATAATAAACATGATTCTCATTGTATTATTCACCAGACATCTGCCATATGTACTCTTTTCTGCTTTATTTTTGATCATTCAGAGAGTTTTGGGCTTGGTGGCCCTGCCTTTTTTGCTTGTGGAAGTTTATCTTGACTCTATCAGACCTAGCTCCTCTTTAAAGACAGCCCATTATTCAGTGATAACAAGGTGTAGAGCTGGATGAACACAGCAGGCCAAGCAGCATCAGAGGACCATGAAGGCTGACGTTTCGATCTCCCCATTATTCAGTTACAGTTTTGTCTGTCAATCTTTAATTCAGACCTATCTGGGCTAGATCTGCCTCACATCATTGAAGTTGGCCTTCGTCCAATTAATTATTCTTTGTCTAGAGTGCCTTTTGTTCTTTTCCAACTGCCAGGCCTAGTGTTATCTATAGTATCTATAACACAGTGACCCACAGTACAAGTCTAAAAAATAAATAACATGCTTTTTGACCACAGTTGGTTGTGTTGTTTGCGGAAAATCATTTTTTCTTCCTTTCTACTTAATATTTTATATCCAGTCTGATTGTGAAAATTTTGCACTAGGAGGGGTACAGATAGAATCACATTGGATTACTGTCTGACAATAAATTGCTCCCTTTTCCAATGGGTATGGGACATAGGAATATCTGGTCTGTAGCAGACACGAGTTTCATTACATTTTAAAGAAAGGGAGGAGAATACTGCAGAGTATCTAAGGAGAGAGCTTCAGAGAACAGCTTGATATGGGTAAAAACCGAAAGAACTGCGGATGCTGTAAATCAGGAACAAAAACAGAAGTTGCTGGAAAAGTTCAGCAGGTCTGGCAGTATCTGTGAAGAAAAAATCCAAAAAGTTAACTGATTTTTTCTTCACAGATGCTGTCAGACCTGCTGAGCTTTTCCAGCAACTTCTGTTTTTATCTTGATATGGGACTGTTTTCGTGAATGTGAAGTATAAAATTTTGAAGAGCTTTTTGGACGCATCCTGGCGATTTTAAACTGTTGATTTTCTTTCTTTAGGTCCATGGATTTTGATGAACTTTTTTAAAATATGCTAATTTGTTTACTTCCAACCATGATGCCAGTAGGGTTCCTGATATGAATTCCCAAGCAGATGTTTCGTTGGAGAGTTGCCAAGCTGGTCAAACAGCCCCAGTGAAATTCCATGTCTTGGAGTCAACATACATGCCTCTATATCAATAGACATAGGATATATGACATATGCAGGTTTCATGGAGGTTCCTTTTCCCAAAGCAGACTGGGGCAGAAGACCAAAGTTTGCATTGCTGATTGCTATGAAAGCCAAAATTTTAAAGCAGCTCAACCAGAGCATGTTACACTTTATGTCGCAATACAGGGACAAATGTGACCTACGTTGTCACAGTTTCCAAATGCATGGAGATCTACCTTTTCTGTACTTGAGTTTGTAGAGATGCCCAATCTGCCATCTGATCTAAGGGCATCTGTGATGACCTTGCAAAATAAGGTTGGCACATGAACTAACAGAATTATTAACTGTAGCCTCAACATTTGATTATAGTCATTTTCAGGGATTCTGCGTTCAGTTTAGCCCTTTGAACTGCACGTGTCTATTTGGTCAGTCTGCTTGTATTTCTGACTACTCTGTTCGCATTGCTGAGCACCAGAATAAAATATTGACAACCCTCTCCGCCTACAAAATCATACAAGGAAGAACTTGATTCTGAATACTACGAACTTGGCAAAGTACTTTTTGTATGTAACTAAACAATGGTGCTTTCCTGATGGCTTAACTGGCAAAGGTTCTGGCATAAGAGTGAAGTGAAAAGAGTTCCTGGTTCAGTCCTGCTCTGTTTTGTAATAACTGATCTCAGGCAGGATTTAATGTTGTCCTTATGGAAATGATACCAGGTTGGGGAAACAAGTCTGGTCCACTAACTTCCAACTGTAAAGTGGATGAATGTGGAGAATAGATTTACTTTGTGTAACCCTTTGTTTGAATTGCCTATTGATGTACACAAGAATAACTGTGGAACTGATCTTCAAAAGTAACTCTTTTGGGGGAGATTAAAGCATAAAATAAAGATGCTAAAGAAAAAAAAAATTTTGTTTTTCAGCGAAATCACGTGGAAAATATTTTCTGTTGGTCTTTTTGATAGCTTTGGGCTTGTTGATAATTGTGTTGAGTCTGCTGAAATTTAAAAGGTGAGGACAAGTCTGTTTTGATTTTGTTGTTATGGCTACATGAACTGTATAGAACATAGAACAGTACAGCACAGTACAGGCCCTTTGGCCCATGATGTTGTGCCTTTTATCCTTTTATCCTAATCCTAAGGTCTATCTACCCTCCACCCCTACCTTATACTATCATCCATATGCCTATCTAATAGCCGCTTAAATAACCCTAATGAGGCCGACTCCACTACCCTCTCCAGCAATGCATTCCACGCCCCAACCACTCTCTGAGTAAAGAACCTACCTCTGACGTCTCACCTATATCTACCTCCACTCACTTTAAAACTATGCCCCCTCGTAATAGCTACCTCCTCCCTAGGAAAAAGTCTCTGGCTGTCTACTCTATCTATACCTCTGATCATTTTGTACACCTCTATCAAGTCACCTCTCATCCTTCGTCATTCTAAAGAGAAAAGCCCTAGCTCTCTCAACCTTTCCTCATAAGACCTTCCCTCCATTCCAGGCAACATCCTGGTAAATTTCCTCTGCAACTTTTCCAACACATCCACATCTTTCCTGTAATGAGGCGACCAGAACTGGACACAATACTCCAGATGTGGCCGAACCAGGGTTTTGTATAGCTGGAGCATAACTTCACGGCTCTTGAACTCAATCCCTCTATTAATGAAATCTAACACACCATACACCTTCTTAACAAGTCTATCCACCTGGGTGGCAGTTTCAGGGAACTGTGAACATGAACCTCAAGATCCCTCTGCTCTTCCACACTGCCAAGAATCTTTTCGTTAACCCTGTATTCTGCCTTCAAGTTTGTCCTTCCAAAATGAATCACCTCACACTTTTCAGGGTTAAACTCTATCTGCCACTTCTCAGCCCAGCTCTGCATCCTATCAACGTCCCTTTGTAACCGAGAACAGCCCTCCACACTGTCCATAATGCGACCCACCTTCGTATCGTCCGCAAACTTACTGATCCACCCTTCCACTCCTTCATCCAAATCATTTACAAAAATCACAAATAGAAGAGAACCCAGAACATATCCTTGTGGTACACCACTCGTAACTGAGCACCATATTTAATATTTTCTGTCCGCTACCACCCTTTGTCTTCTAAGGGTCAGCCAATTCTGAATCCAATCTGCCGCATTTCCCCCTATCCCATGCCTCCTTACCTTCTGCATGAGCCTACCGTGGGGAACCTTATCAAATGCCTTACTTAAATCCATGTATACCACATCCAGTACTCTACCTTCATCCATGTGTTTGGTCACCTCTTCAAAGAATTCAATAAGGTTTGTGAGGCATGATCTACCCCTCACAAATCTATGCTGACTATCACGAATCAAACTGTGCCTTTCCAAGTGATCATAAATCCTGTCTCTCAGAGCCCTTTCCAATAATTTGCCCACACTGATGTAAGACTAACTGGCCTGTAATTTCCGGGGTTATCCCTATTTCCTTTCTTGAACAAGGGAATGACATTTGCCAATCTCCAATCTTCCGACACTATACCTGTGGACAGTGAGGATGAAAAGATCATCGCCAAAGGCCCTGCGATCTCTTCCCTCGCTTCCCAAAGAATCCTTGGATAAATCCCATCCAGCCCAGGGGACTTATCTATCTTCAAGTTCCTCAAAATTCCTAGCACATCTTCCTTACTAACTTTGACCTCTTGTAGCCTACCAGCCTGTTTCACACTGTCCTTCTCTACAACTAGGTCCCTTTCAGTTGTGAATACCAACGAAAAGTATTCATTGAGGACCTCTCCTATCTCTTTAGGCTCCGTGCAGAAATTCCTTTTACAATCTTTGATCGGCCCTACCCTTTCTCTGGTCATTTTCTTATTCCTCACGTACATGTAAAAAGCCTTGGAGTTTTCCTTGATCCTCTTTGCCAAGGTTTGCTCATGCCCTCCTAAGCCCTTTCTTCAGCTCCTTCCTGGATAACTTGTATCCCTCTAGAGCCTGTTCCGTTCCTTGTTTCCTAAACTTTACACAAGCATCCTTCTTCCTCTTAACCAGTCGTTCGACCTCTCTTGAGAACCAAGGCTCCCTCACTCGACCGCATCTTCCCTGCCTGCTAGGGACAAACATATCGAGCACACGCAGTATGCATTCCTTGAACAATCTCCACATTTCAATAGTGCTCTTCCCTGACAGCATCTGTTCCCATTTTATGTTATCCAGTTCTTGCCTAACAGAATTGTAATTACCCTTCCTCCAATTATAAACCATACCCTGCTGTATGTACCTATCCTTTTCCATTACTATTGTAAAGGTAACAGAGTTATGATCGCTACCGCCAAAATGCTCTCCTACCAACAGGTCTAACACTTGGCCCGGTTCATTGCCAAGCACCAAATCCAAAGTGGCCTCTCCTCGTGTTGGTCTATCTACGTACTGTGTCAGGAATCCTTCCTGAACGCACTGGACAAAATCCGCTCCATCTAAACTATTACAACTAAAATGTTTCCAATCAATATTTGGAAAGTTGAAGTCACCCATGACTACAACCCTGTGACTTCTGCACCTTTCCAGTATCTGCCTCCCAATCCGCTCCTCCACTTCTCTGCAACTATTAGGGGGTCTGTAAAAAACCCCCAACTAAGTAACTGCCCCTTTCTTGTTCCGGACCTCAACCCAAACTGACTATATAATAAACTGGTCTATATATCTTTATGTCTAATTGTCAAATGACACTTAAGAAGTTTGATGCTTTCAAAGTCAAAACAGTCCACTTGATTGGCACTACATCCACAAAAAAAAATCATTCATTCCATCCACCACCGACATTCAGTAGCAGCAGTGTGTACTATCTACACCATGCCCTGTAGAAATTCACCAAGAAGCCTTAGACAATAGCTTCCAAACCAATGCCTTCCACCATCTATGAGAACAAAGGCATCAGATACATGGGAATATCACCACCCACAACTTCCCTTCCAAGCCATTTTGCATCCTGCCTTGGAAATATACCATGGTTCCTTCAGTGTCACTCAGTCAAAATTCTGGAACTCTCTCCCTGTATGTCTTGTTGGTCTACCTAGAGCAAATATACAGTAGCGATTCAAGAAGGCAGTTGACCACCACTTTCTCAAGGGTAACTAGGGATGGGCAATAACTACTGGCCCAGCCAGTGACGCCCACAACCTATGAATGAACTTGAACGACAATCCATGGACAGTGCAGTTAAGAGAACATTTTACATGAATCCTTAGTCAAATAATCTTGCAACGTAATTTGATAGGGCCATAAGCCACACAAGACCTCCTGAGAGAGCCAACCAAAGACAATACCACCAAGAAGTTAAAGCTTTAAGAGCTGTATTTAAGTTCAGGGTAGGTTGGGATCCCAGGATCCTGACTAAGTACCTTCCTGTACTTGGTTAGTTTGATTTCTATGGCTGCCTGGTCATTAATCAACTTTGTGTGATCTTTTAACTCCAATGGAGAAGAAATTCTGAATCTGAGTGCTGTTGGCCAAGCAAATGGCTAGCCAATCTCTTGACCCATTGCCATTGGGAGTGCCATTGGGAGTGGTGGCTACAGCTGGGATTGCATGCAGTGTTAAAGTCGAGGATCCTGGAACTTGGACTTCCAGGTGAATCTGTGGTCTTGCCAGGGCCAGGTGAGGGTGTATGGGATCCCCGAGTCATCAGTGTGGGAGTTAAAGGTAACGGGATGGGGGTGCAGGAGAATGCTGGTGGTGGTTGTGGGTTTGGGGGAGTGGGCAATCATCTAATGGGAGCAAGGTGCCAATCAGCAGTCACATCCCACTAGCCCGGCCAGTTTTGACCTGGAAACCTGGACACTTGGGCAGTGCACTCCCTGCCTCAGATGAAGTCACAATGGCAGTGAGTGGAAGCTCTTAAGTGGCCATTAATTGGTTCATGGATAGTTGGCCACTTAGCTCCTCCCCTCACAGGGGTAAAACACCTGCAGGCAATGAGCATAGCATCAGTGTCCATTTTATATCTGCCCCACTTCTCAACTGCCATCCAACTCCAGGGGTCTGTAATATTCAGTCTAATGTAATCACAAAGTGATGAATTCTGAAGTCCATTACACATTAATTCCAAGTGATTTAGCAGAAGCACCAGTAATGCCTATTCTCTGGGGAAAAAAAAACTGCAAATCCTCTGACACAAAGAAAATTGATCGCTAAACAAGAAAGTCTGACAACACTTACTAAGACAAAACGGCCTCTTATGGAACAGGCCCTACCTCTGGGCCACAAGTTTGGGTTCAAGTACTACCTATACAAGAAATATCTCCCAACATGCCTACAAAGAGAAAAGACGCATTAAACTAACAACCTGTCAGTTTACTCAAATGATATTATTTAAAGGGAAATTCACTTTTGACCATTTGACCAACATTCAACCAATCCCACCTAAATAGATTAGCCATTCATTTATGTCCGTTTATGGTGTCTTGTGCACACGTTGGTTTTCATAACATAATAACCAATGATTGTATTTCAAAATTGATGGTGCAAAATTGCTTGTAATTTCCTGATGGTTTCAGAGATATGATACAAATGCAACTTCTTTCCAACCAGAATATCAAACTGTCTTTTCTCTTTACAGATGCTGATGAAGCCCATATTTCCAGCTTTTTTTTGATTTTATTTCTAAAAGTACTATCCTAAGCCTTTTTAATCATCATAGATATTTAATTGGGAAATCTAATGGTGCAATGAGTAGCATTCCATCCTCTGAGCCAGACACTCTACGTTCAAGACCAGCTTTAAGACTTGACGGTCTTGGAAAGTATATTCATTGGATGGAGAAGCAGGTTAGGTATTAATTATTCACCAATGACATGTAGTAAAATTTGGAGAGATTCCTGGTCAGGCATGTGTTAGACAGAAATTGGAGCCTCTACCATCACTTTCCATAACTCCAGGCTGCATCATGCATAAGGAGTGCAACTTGACTCAGAGCTGAATGACTAGTGTGGGTCAGATTGATGCCAATAGCATGGAATTTGACCCCTATTTTGGCTGAGATAGATTTGGAACCTGCCTCCTTGACCTAATCAAGATAGAGATTGCAGCAATGCGGGATCAACCTCAGGGAGACAACTCAAGAAGAAGACAATATTGAATTTAGTAGATCTGTCTTTCTCACTGTTCCTCTCTAACTCTGACTTTCTATACTCCTGTCTTGGTTTCCTTCACTGTTTGTGTACTTCCCAACCTGTTTTTTTTTCAAGTGGGCATGTCTAAAATCAGGAAAAAAAGAGCTGTGGATGCTGGAAATCAAACAAAAACAGAAATTGCTGGAAAAACTTGGCAAGTCTGACAGCATCTCTGTAGAAAAAACAAAGATAATATTTCGGTCCAGTGACCCTTCTTCAGTTCTGAGTTTTTCCAGCAATTCTGTTTTATGTCTAAAATTGGATCTGTTGTTTCAATAAATTGTGCAAATGATTACATTACAATTTTTTAAAACCAAATCTAACTGCAATTAAACACATTACACAAAACTTGCTGTGTTGACCAATAATTGTTTTCTTGGTTAACTGGCAAGATGCTATAACAAGAATGGATGCTATGATTGTAGTCAATAAATATGTTAATTACTGTCCACCTTTTAATGCAAATACCTCCAAAAATCTTCAACAAACTTAAATGTGATACAAAGGAGTTTGGTTTGCTTTGCTGTAAAATGTTTTAACCAGATTTGTTTGGACAAAATTTCCTTACAGAAAATATCGTCCCTCTGATAATCAATGGAAACCTTTAAAGGTAAAATATCTTTGTTTATTCCTTTAAAAACACTGAATACAGTCTCTGTCTTCTTAAATAAGGAAAACTATTCTGATAATATAAAATCATAACACAAAGAAGTAGGTGATTACTTGTCTGTAACTCATGCAATTATTCCACACTCTTTACTTGCAAATAGGGTGTCATCGTGGCTCAGTTAGCGCTGCTGCCTCCCAATGCCTTGGACCCAGGTTCAATTCCATCCTTGAATGACTGTCTGTGTGGAGTTTGCGCATTCTTCTTATGTCTGTGTGGGTTTCCTCTGGGTGCTCTGGTTTCCTCCCATAGTCCAAAGATGTGCAAGTTAGGTGGATTGGCCATGCTAAATTACCCCTAGTGCATAGGTAAGGTGGATTAGCAATGGGGAATGTAGGGTTACAAGGATAGGTCTGGGTGGGAGGGTTAGTGTGAACTCAATGGGGTGAATGGCCTGCTTCCACACTGTAGGGATTCTATGAATTTTTCCTCTTTACATTTGTATCCAATTCCCTTTGAAAAGTTGCAAACAACTCCATTTTTGACAATGTATTCCAGATCATAAAAGATTAGCCCTGCCTATGTGTATTTTCTCCATTATTATTTGTGCCAGTGAAGGTTAATGGTGGTAATGTTTTTGCCCATCTGTTAGTCTGCTAATAAGATTTCTCCAAAACTAATGGACAGGTTGAAGCAAACATTGGTAACAATTAGCGAATAGAAGAGCTGGTTACTTTTTGGTGAAGAAGTGAATCTGGATGCTGGAATTTTTTTTAAAAGGTTATTAACTCACAGGGGTAGTGCACTAAAAATTAAGACTCCATTTTCTTGGATTTCTCACATACACAAAAATTTGATTAAACCACTAAATTGCCCAATTCTACCTAACTGAGTGATGCATGTTAAAAGATTATGCACACCAGTGATTTTGCTCCAGTACATAACTACCTTTTGGAAATAAATTGTTTCTTAACCAATGGCAAAAAGTTGACAAGTTGAATTGCTAATTTATAACTCCATAACTTAAACTCAGCTCTTTTTTAAAATTCCTATTTATGTACAAACAGACATACAAAGAGACAAGACAAGTCACAAATATTAATGTGGTGTAATAACTCAGGAAGCTTGATTGGAAAGGAATATTGTTTATTGCTAAGCACCAAAATGTGGGAAGTGATGGCCTAGTGGTATTATTGCTAGACTGTTAATCCAGAGACCCAGATAATGTTTTGGGGAACCTGGGTTCAAATCCCCCTGCAGCAGATGGAGGAATTTGAATTCAATAAAAATATCTGGAATTAAGAATCTAATGATGACTATGAGTCCACTGTTAATGGTTGGGAGGAAAAACCCATCTGGTTCACTAATGTCCCATAGGGAAGAAAACTGCCACCCTTATCTGGCCTACATGTGACTCTAAACCCACAGCAATGTGGTCAATGAAAATTTGATTAATTGAGCAATTAATTTAACTGCAGTTAAAGTTGGGCAATAAATGCTGCTCAGCCAGAGATGCTTTCATCCTGTTAATGAATAAAGGAAAAAAACAAGAGGAGCCACTAATTGTGGCATATGTAGGTGTCTCAGCCTGGAACAGACAGCCCTACAGACCCATCCCTGAGTCTGCTTTATTTTAAATTTAACCTATTTTCTAATCAACCTGTTGAGAGATGTTATGACACACCTCAAGTGCGGGTGGGAGTTGAACCCAGGCCTCTCAGTCCAGGGGAAGGGACACTATCGCTGTTTCACAAGAGGGCCCCTGAGTCTGCATTTTTTTGTTTCTTTAATTCCCATAGTGCCTTACTGGTCCAGGGGTAGAGACACTACCTTTGTGTCGCAAGACAGCCCTCCCTAGTTCCCTCTATTTTTTCTTTGCCTTTCGGTTCAGGTGTAGGGACACTACCACTGCACCACAAGAGGGCCCCTTCATCTGCTTTTTAAAATTTAACCTATTTTTCCTAATCATCTCTGTTTAGAGATGTTATTACACACCTCTGGAGCAGGTGGGACTTGAACCTGGGCATCCCGGTCCAGTGTAGTGACATTACCATTGTGCCACAAGAGGGTCTCGAGGTCTGCTTAAAAAGAACTCAGTTGATGAGTTCCAGCTAGACAGGCCATTGCTTGTTACCAAAGGAATTCATATGTGAAAAGCTCCATGAGGAGATTAATTAATGATTCCCCATGGGCTTCCTAGGGCCTATCACAGGTGGGAAAGGAACAAAAAGTTAGTGAAGCACAATTCTGGCATCAGTCTGGATCACAGACAGAATTGAGTAGTCTTCTTTTGGCTTTATATCTACTCCTTCCAATTATTTTCTAATGATGATGAGGTCACGGCTACACTGATTCTCAATCTAACACTCACTAATTGAGGATTCTCCCTTTCGGTGCCACAGAAGGTGGTTTCTCCCCTTTTCCTTTTAATGGGACATTTGCAGACAATTATAGAATCATAGAATAATACATTACACAAGGAGACCATTCAGTCCATCGTGTCTCTGCTGGCTTCTGAAAGAGCGAATCTGCTAGTCCTATTCTCTATCCCTTTCTCCTTACAACTTTAAAATATATATCCATCTCTCTCTTGGATTCTCTTATAGAATCTGCCTCCACCTCTCTACCGGGGGGATAGACAGTATCCTCTGCGAGCAGGATAGAGAATCCCGTATGGTGTGTTGCCTGCCTGGTGCCAGGGTACGAGACATCTCTGACCCGCTTGAGAGGATATTAGAGAGGGAGGGGGAGGATCCAGTTGTTGTGGCCCATGTAGGTACCAAACAACACAGGCAGGACTAGGAAAAAGGACCTGTTTCGGGATTATGAAAAGCTAGGAACGAAATTAAAAAACAGGTCTTCAAGGGTCATAATCTTTGGATTGCTGCCCGAGCCACGTGCAAATTGGCACAGGGAGGCGAGGATCAGGGAAGTAAACACGTGGCTAAAAGAGTGGTGTGGGAAAGAGGGTTTCCTTTACATGGGGCACTGCCATCAGTTCTGGGACGGGAGGGATCTATACCGCTGGGATGGACTCCACCTGAACAGGGCCGGGTCCAGTGTTCTGGCGAAAAGGGTAAATAGAGTGGTTAATAGGACTTTAAACTAGTAAGTAGGGGGGAAGGGAGAAGTGAGCGTAGAGGGATAATAACAATTAACGTAAGGCAAAGCAGCAGGTTAGCAGGTGACGAGGAAGCTTCAACTCCATTGAAAATTAGGAAAAAAGTTAAAGGGAAGGAGAACTCAGGAGTTGTTAGTAATGGAGGTAATAGGACCCAAAAAGAAGGTGCAAAAACTGGCATAAGTGCACTTTATCTGAATGCTCGGAGCATTCGAAACAAGGTGGAAGAGTTGACGGTGCAAATCATGGCAAGTGGGTATGATTTAGTGGCCATTACAGAGACATGGTTACAGGATGGTCATGACTGGGAGTTAAATATCCAGGGGTATCAAACTGTTGGGAAGGACAGACAGGAAGGTGGTGTTGTTCTGATTTTTAAGGATGATATCAGGGTGGTAGTGAGAGATGATATAGGTTCTACTGAACAAAACATTGAATCCATTTGGGTGGAAATTAGGAATAGCAGGGAGAAGAAGTCACTGATAGGTGTGGTCTATAGGCCACCAAATAATGACATCGTGTTGGGGCGGGCAATAAACATAGAAATAGCTAATGCATGTAAAAATGGTACAGCAATTATCATGGGGGATTTTAATCTACGTATCGATTGGTCAAACCAGGTCGGTCATGGCAGCCTTGAGGAGGGGTTCATAGAACGCATCTGCGATAATTTCCTTGAACAATATGTAATGGAACCTACGAGGGAGCAAGCTATCCTAGATCTAGTCCTGTGTAATGAGACAGGAATAATTAATGATCTCACAGTTAGGGATCCTCTCGGAAGGAGCGATCACAGTATGGTCGAATTTAAAATACAGATGGAACGTGAGAAGGTTAAATCCAGTACCTATGTCCTGTGCTTAAACAAAGGAGACTGTGAAGGAATGAGGGAGCTAAGGTAGAATGGGAGCAAAAACTTTATGGTGGATCAATTGAGGAACAGTGGAGGACTTTCAAAACGATTTTTCACAGTGCTCAGCAGAAGTATATTCCAGTGATACGGAAGAACTGTAGGAAAAGAGAGAGCCAGTCATGGATGTCTAAGGAAATAAAGGAAAGTATCAGATTGAAAAAAAAACACATACAAAAAAACAAAGAGTAGTGGGAAACTAGTAGACTGGGAAATCTTTAAAGGCCAACAGAAAGCCACAAAAAAAGTTATAAAGAAAAGTAGGATAGATTATGAGAGTAAACTAGCTCAGAATATAAAAACAGGCAGCAAAAGTTTCTATAAATAATTAAATCGTAAAAAAGTGGCGAAGGTAAACATTGGTCCTTTAGAGGATGAGAAGGCCAATTTAATAACTGGGAATGAGGAAATAGCCGAGACATTAAACAGTTATTTCGTGTCGGTCTTCACAGTGGAAGACACAAATAACATGCCGAAAACTAATGGCAAGAAGGTTATAGCAGGTGAGGACCTAGAAACTATCATTATCACGAAGGAGGCAGTGCTGGGCAAGCTAATGGGGCTAAAGGTAGACAAGTCTCCTGGCCCTGATGAAATGCATCCCAGGGTACTAAAAGGGGTGATGGGGGAAATAGCAAATGCACTAGTAATTATTTACCAAAATTCACTGGACTCTGGGGTGGTTCCCGCAGATTGGAAAACAGCCAATGTGATGCCACTGTTTAAAAAAGGAAGTAGACAAAAAGCAGGTAACTATGGGCCAGTTAGCTTAACTTCGTTAGTGGGAAAAATGCTTGAATCTATCATTAAGGAAGAAATAGCAAGACATCTGGATATAAATTGTCCCATTGGGAACACCCAGCATGGGTTCATGAAGGATAGGTCATGTTTAACTAATTTGGTGGAAGTCTTTGAGGACATTACTTGCATGGTGGACAATGGGGAACCTGTGGGGGATGTGGTGTATCTGGA